TTTTTTCTCTGCAGCTTCCTGACACTCCTCATCGTACCAGTTGTTCTCTCGGGCTCGCTGAAATCCGACTACTTCTTCGGCGGCGGTACTTAATGAGCGGGAAATGTGGTTCCACTGCTCGCATATGTCGGTTTGTTGAAGAGTGCTTTCTGAGAGCAGGTGTGAGAGTCGAGTAGCGAAAGCGATGGCTGTCTGTTGTGATTGCAGCTTTTCGACCTTAAGCTTTCCTTGCATATTTGGGCGCACATTTTTTCTGCACAGAGGCGGGTGCGTATCTTGGCTGCAACAAGATAGTGGTCCGAGTCGATGTTTGGGCCTCGGAGTGTGCGTACGTCTAAAAACACTGGAAGCGTGCCTTCCGTCTATCACAACATGATCGATTTGGTTTCTCGTTTTTCGATCCGGAGACAGCCAGGTAGCTTGATGAATCTTTTTATGCTTGAACCTAGTACTTCATACTACCATGTGGCATTTACACTGTTTCTTTATTCGAGCGACGATATATGTATGTGTGTAAGTGTTTTGTATTCGAAACATTTAATCTTAAATAAATGAATTGTATGCTTTCAAAATGCTTTTTTGTAATTGAAATTTATTTGGTAGGTTGTAAACGATTTTGGTCGGATTTGGGAAGAAAATTGGTAGGGGAAAAATCGTTAGTGGCAACGCTGAGCACATGTCAAGTTTCAGCGAAACCGGTGCTGGTTAACTATTATTTCCACCTGCCTCCATATAGTCGAAACATTGTGCGGTACTAGGCATTTTCTTCTTACATGTATGTATGTAAAAGCAGAGCGAAAATAACCCTCTCCACTAATTTTATATGGTGTTTAACACTGACTAAAACACAAATCTCTCAAGCCAAATGTGTTTCTCACCGTGCCAAATCTCTCTGTGCGATCTTTTTGTGTTTTCTGCTGTGGGTTATTCAGGACTTTCATCTTTCAGTGTCTTAATTTGTGTGTTATTATTAAGTGGAAGCAAAGCGTTATGGTCTGATTATGCATACTTCGCATAACTTCGCACAACTTCGCATGAACTTCAAACTGTAATTTCGAATGTACTTTGTATGTATTCCATTACCCAGAAATTAGCAGAACTTTTAAAAATTTAGCGATCTGCTTAGTTTAGACTTTGCATCACGATTTCTTAAGTTACATTTTTATTGCACTGGTACAAATGGTTGTGCGGAGTTATGCGAAGTATGCATAATCAGACCTTTAGGCATTTCTTTACGCGCCATATGCATACACATTCATGTGCGAACATTTATGACAAAGAAGAAAGCGTGCACATTCACAACATTTTACTGAAAATAAGCTATTTTACTATAGTTTAATTTATTCAATTTCGAATTTTTTCATACATATATGTATACTGTATAAGCAGAATTATTGGTACACCCAGAAAAAAGTTAGCTAAAAATATTTCCCCCAACACTTGATATGGTAACATTAACTAAATAGGGTAACTATAACCAAATTTTGTGTTGAGGTAAATGTATTTAGCTGATATTTTTCTGGGTGTATAGGTGCTATTATATTTTAGTACATTTTGAGTTAAGGTTTGTTGAATTTTCATAATTTTTTGTACGAAGTTTGTATTGTAGATTTACTGGTAATGAAATGTGCTAGACTTTTATAAAAAAATATAATAATAACTTAATATAAAAATTAAATATACAAACGAAAATAGCCAAAACTTGTTAAAACGTCACTTAATTTAGTCAACTGACAACAACGGTAAGTGCCCATAAGTTTGCTTTTCAAGAATTCGAATATCGAAAGCACAACAAAGCCAAGTAACCATATTTAGGGAAATATCGTTATTTTTGGGTTTTTTGAAAATACCGCTATATGGGAGGTGAGCGAGGTTTTCGATCGATATTGCCGATTTTCAATACCACCCTAACTTGGATAAAGGGCAACCCGTATATATGTCATGGGCTGCACTGGCAAAACTCCATAAGCAAGTGGAAAGCTTTTGCAATTGCTTATGGAGTTCCGCCAGCGCTGGCCATGCTTGCGTTATACCAAATTCCATTGAGATATCTCAGTCCTCGGGTTATCTTGTACACGGACTTACGGAGAAACGGACATACGGACATGTCTTTGTAGACTTCTCTCTTCATTGTGATCATTTTGGTATATACATTTATATCTATATCTACCACCGGCATTCGGCAGCGCCTGGGTTCGGGCCCAGTTTCCGACCAACATCAATAAATAAAACATAAAAATTGTATTCTAAAAGCCGTAGCCCCTCGGCAAGCAATGGTATACCTCCGAGTGTATTTATGACATGTTTGTAGGAGTTGATGGCGAACCGGCTAACGTTTTAAGGACTACGATTTAATTGCATGCCCCTAGAATATTCGGTGACTCTGCCAATTGGTTGATGTTAAGGCTGATCGACATAGGTCCCAGTATAATACGAGCGTAACAAGAGCAGTCCAAAAACTGTACCGGAAGTAGAGAAGGAAAAAAGGCTTATGATAAGAAGAAAGAGACCGAAATATAAGAGTGCGAAGAGCTTGAGATGCTAGAGGAAAGTAGAACATCCGAAAATTTTGGCGGAAGATTCGCCGAGCTACGGAAGGTTTTAAAACCGGGACGAGCTCCTGGTGACAGATGCCCAGAATAGCCTTAAATTATGAAATAGCACTTCTCCAACCTGATTAATGGCAACAATAGAGGTTTCAAAGCCGCTTTTGAAACCACCAGAAAGAAACTAATAAGGCTGTGTAAAATTATGTTGAACAATGCCACCAGCTCTGCCATAATTGGCAAATAGTCTCCGAGCTGTTGGATACCAAACGAGGTCTCCAAAAGGGCGACCCCTATCGAGTCCTTTCTTTAATTTGATGTTGGAGAAGACGATAAGAGCTGCATAACTCAACCGTTCCGGTAAAATTTATTACAAGAGCGTACATCATCAATGCAACGCTTATTACATAGCACGAATAATTTAAATAGAGAAGCAAAACGCATGGGTTTTGGGATGAATGAAGACAAAGCGAACTAGTGGTGGCAAACTGTCGATAGTCCCGACTATCGATAGTGAGCGATATTTTGTTTAAACTATCGATAGTCTATTGATAGTCACATATTTTGAAAAAGATAAAAATCTAATTTGAGCGTATTCATAGTCAAAATTAAGTGGATACTTAAAGTTGGTTGAAACTTCATTGACAGATAACCCATCCAAAATTATGTCAAAAAGGTAGAACTAACTTTAAGTACCAACTTAATCTTGACTATGAATACGCCCCCATTGCGTTAAGTATAGTTTTTTAAAGCCCATAAGGACCTGCTTTCTAAAGCCAATTGTGTTTATTTAAGAAACATACCTTGCCAACATTTTTAGGTTTTAGTTTCGATCTTTTTTTGTTTACTATTAAAGCTGCTTTACTGTATATTCGTTCCGATTCTAATGATGACGTTAGGCCAACATAGTTGCCATGTATTCTTTTATATAAAAGTATTGCCGCTTAATCAAATGCACATTCACCATTTTTGTGTCTTGAATTTCGAAAATTGTCGATAGTGAAAATACCAAAATCATCGATAGTATCAATGGTTTGCCTCCACTACATTAAAAAAGCAGACAGCGCATGTGCATCTTGGCACCAACTTCACTGTTGACAGTTATAATTTTCGGAAAAGCATTAACACGAATAACAATGTCCGAACATTATAACGACTTTGACATAGTAGAGCGAATCAAAATATAGCGGCTGCGCTGGATAGGTTATGTATGTCGTACGAATGGAGGATGCAAGTGAACCAGCCCTGAAAGTATTGAATGCGGCATCCAAATGAATTCTTCTCTGGCTTAGAAAAAGACGATTGCAGTCGACCAAAACTTAAGTTAGCCCAACATGGATCAACGATTTGACAATCGCTCCCATGTTTTTAAAGACCACAGCTTTTTCGAAGCTCCTAACATTTTGGTGGTGGTGTTTCCACAGATTTTCCCTCAGAGTACGCGTGCTGGCAATCAAACCAAAACATATTAGAGACCTCAACATAAAGCATGTAAGCCGATTCGAATTTTTTTTTCAAAACTCTTTTCTCTTCCTACACTGAATAACTCCCTACTTATAACTTTACCGATTTCTCGGTATCGAATGCTCTCGCATCCTATAAATATGTATGTATGTATGTATCTCGGTTGCATTTTCTTAAGTAAGGTTTTTGCTAATTTTAATATTTAGTTTTGGGCATTGTTTTATAGTGTTAACTACATAAGTATTTATGATTATAATTAAAAGGTTTCTTTTTGCGTTTTTTCTCCATACAGGTCACAGCGGTGTAAATCAGTTAGGTGGTGTGTTCGTGGGAGGACGGCCGCTTCCTGATTCAACGCGTCAGAAAATTGTTGAGTTGGCACATTCTGGTGCCCGCCCTTGTGACATATCACGAATATTGCAAGTTTCCAATGGCTGCGTTAGCAAAATTTTGGGCAGGTGGGCATTAGCAATAAGTTATGTTAAATATAAATAAAATTATTAATGAAAGTTTATAATTATGCAATATTTTTATTTCGTTTTGTAACTATAGCACATCACCAAAGCTGTTCTTCTTTGGCTTATGGCTGCATTGAGCACCTAATAAATCCAAATTTTAAAACCAAATATGTACTTCCAAATTTTTTTCTACCGTTACGTTTAAAACAGATGCTCAGAAGAGAGATTGCATTTGGTTTTCAGTTCGAATTCATAAGGCGCTTAATGCAGTTTTTATCGTGATAGAATAACATCTTGGTTGATATGCTATAGTTACAAAACGTACTTTGTGTATATTAGACCGAATTAATTCAAAAATTACGTTTTTGGAGATTTCATCATTCAATTAATAAGTTAAGGATAATATGTTCAGTCCAACAGATAACTAAGCTCCACAAAAATTACAAATTTATGTACATATGTACATATTATGTATGTTTTTATATTTCCATCTGTTTTTGTATACCAATTGACCCTACTTTGATCGGGTTTTCCCACAAAATTAAAATTTTGAAACAATTCACTTTATTATTAAACGTTCGTGGTGTATACTGACATGGGTGAAAAAATATATACATCACGGGCGGATCCAGACTTTTATTAGTTCATGTGATTTAATTAGAGCAGAAATATTGAGAGTAATACTAATATGCATGTGTTCCCGGAGGAAATGGGAGCTGGTAATAATGTTTTACCAGCAACTTACATTTCACCCAGCGCGCATAAGGACAAAATTACTACGTTTATACGCATGCATAAGTCGCTTTAATTCATTTCGCCGCGATTCAAAACATATGTATAAATTGAATTTCAATTCGCTTTGAAAGAGCAAAGTGTGTTGGCTCACACTCCATTTCAAATCGGTAGTTTATTTCTCCAGACAGTTAGAAAGAGTGTATAAACACCGCTCTCACTCAAAGCGATTTGGAGATCAGCTGTTCCGCTCAAATTCCAAATAATCACATCAGTATTTAAAAGCTGATTAATAATAATCGTTCTTTTTCTTTGTCACGATTTTATAATG